AATAATATTAAATTAATCGATTACTATTAAATTAATTTTATTTGATTTTCACGTCTAAAATTTTTCAAAATACTATTTTTATTCTTGTGGAAAATGGCGGTTGGATGAAAAAGTCAAATTCAAATTAAAAAAAAATTGTTATTTTGAAAAAGATATTTTGTAAACCGTAATTCATAAAAATATGGTCAATGATAACTTTAAATACAACGGGTAAATATGGTCAATGATATCATAAGTTATATTTTATATTCGATAAGTTCAACTTAATTGATGATTTTGTTTGTTAATATTTGCTTAACTACAAAATATTTTAAAGTTTATAAAGAATCTCATTTTATGTAGGTTCTTGGTATTTTTTTATTTGTACATATTCATTTTTCGCCCCATATCCAAATACAAATTTAAATGCGGATCTTACATGTTTATTAGAAATATATGTATATTTTTTCAAAAAGTATGACGATCATATAATTAATTTTATCATATATCATATGTTGGATGTTATTAGTTTGGTTGGGACACTCATTATATTCAAATAAATAATATATAATTTTTCATATTTAGTATTTTTTTTTTATAATAATAAGATGTTAAACATAAATAACTATGTATAATATAAAGTCTTAGAAAAGGTTTTAAGTAAAAACCCCTCCGTGCAACGCACGGGATACACACTAGTACATTATATGCACTCAGATTCAGATGGAGACAAATTATAATAAATTAAAATAATACAAGTAACACATGTTTGGCTACTGGAGGAATATGAGAAGAAAAATTATTAGCCACTATGGCATTCTTCTGCTAATATATCATATTTAAATCCTGCTAATTTATGAAACAAGACACATAAGAATGCCATGGTGGATTTAGCTGCTATTGTATTAGCCACATAAGAATGCCACGATTGAGTAGTTGGAACTTTACACCTAAATATTAGGTTGCTAATGTATGAATTAAGCCACTATTGTTATAAGAATTATGGTTCAGGCTTAAATCCACTCGCATTCTTCTACTAAATATATCACATTTTAGCCTGCTAAATATTTAATTATCATAGGTCACATAATGTCTGGTACTGATATGCTCGAAGATGATCTAATGAACATAGATGAAATTGAAGAAGATGACAGGAGAGAAGAGTTATATAAATACATTTGGTATTCATACTTGCTCATTCAAGCAATTTTTTGACATGACAAATGTGCTTATGGTTAATATGTGTCATGATCGTGTCAGTTACTCATTAAGTAGAAGGCCGAAAACCGTGGATGGTTATGATTATATACATAAAATACTTGGGAAAAATTCTAACGACTTCCGAGAGGTCTATAGAATGTACCCCGATGTATTCTTGAAATTATGTCGTATCATTAGAGAGAAACAACTCTTGAGGGACACAAGGTTTGTTTCTGTTGAGAAAATACTTGCGACATTCTTACTTATTGTTGGGCAAAATAATTGATACTGCCAAGTACGGCAAGTATTTGGTCGATCACATTTCACCACTAGCCAGAATTTCAACAAGGTGTTGAAAGCACTAACCAAATACGTTGTAGATATGTTGGCTAAGCCAGGATCTACAATTTCCCAGAAAATAAGAGAAAATACACGATTTTATCCCTACTTTAAAGTAAGTAATAACATTATTTACTTTAATTTTATAATATCATTATATTATTTTCTAATATTGAAAATTTTAAAAATTTTAGGACTGCATTGGGGCTATTGATGGCACACATATTCCAACAATGGTAATAGGACATGATACAAGCAGTTATCGGAATCGACATGGACAAATTTCGCAAAATGTTTTAGTTGCTTGTAACTTTGATCTGGAGTTTATATATGTGCTCAGTGGGTGGGAGGGTTCAGCTCATAATTCAAAAATTTTGACGGATGCGTTAACAAGAAGAAACGGACTCAAAATTTCTGAGGGTATTAATTCATAATTTTATATTTCGTTTCATATTTCTTAAGTACACTGTTATTAAATGTCACAAGCATGAGATAATTATATATTTTATTTGCAGGAAAGTACTTATTGGCTGATTGTGGATATCCAAATAGATGACAGTTTCGTACTCCATATCGAGGGACTCGCTACCATCTTAATGATTTTACAGGTCAAGGTCGTGACCCAAGCAATGCCAAGGAACTGTTTAATCTCAGGCATTCTTCATTAAGGAATGTAGTTGAGAAGATATTTGGTATATTCAAATCAAGGTTTGTGATTTTCAAATCGGCACCTCCATTTCCGTTTCATACGCAAGCGGAGCTAGTATTGGCATGTGCAGAGTTGCATAACTTTTTACGAAAAGAATGTCGCTCTGATGAATTTCCAACTGAACTTGAACAAGAAACAGGTCAATCTTGTCCAATAATCGAAGGAGATAATTTTGGTCCATTTTTTGAAAGTCAAGAACAACAAAAAGCGACCGCTAATGCATGGAGGGATGCAATAGCAAATGAAATGTGGAACGATGCTATAGAGTAGAAATTGGACTTACTTATTATTTTTATGTTATATGAAATTGTATGAGACACAAAACTTTTGTGTTCATCAAATTTGCATCTTATTGATTTTTTACTTTATATTTTTTCGATATTTTAATTTTCCACACAAACTTATAGAGTCTCTTTAAAGATCATAATATCACCAAATATATGTGTTTCAAACATAATTTCTATTAATGTTGTCAGTCAAAATTTTAATTATTTCTTGAGATTATGTGGATGATTTGATAGAATAAAAAATTATAAGTGAGACAAAAAATATAGTTATTGTATGTCTTTGAGATTACGCGGTTTATTGAATATAATAAAAAATTATAACAAATTGGACTATTTTTGTACAAAACGATAAATAAACAAATAATAAAATAGAAAATTTACATTTCTCCTTTTTAAATTGATTTTTATTTTCTTTCATGTATAATTTTTCTCACAAGTTCGCACAATGGTATATTTATATATTAATGTTGATGTTTATTCAATCAATAATAAAAGTCTACAAAATTCTTGAAAAGTCTTAAGAAATCTCTAAAAGTCCTGAACAATACCACATGTCATTTCTGGGGATTTTTAATAAATTCTACAAAATCCATGAAAATTGATAAAATCCCATAAAATTCTATTCTTAGTAAAATCCTAAAAAGTCTTTTAGAATCTTAAATGAATACACCCCCTAAGATTTGTTAAGACTTTTTAAGATTTGGTGCGATTTCTAAAGAAATCCCACTTAAAAATAACACATCTAGACTTAAGATTTCACAGAATTCCTCCACAATCTGAAAAATCTTACAAAAACTCAAATCTTAAAAAGTCTCAAAATGTCATGTAAAATCCCAATTGAATACACCCTTACACTATACCATTTATATCGTGACAAATCCCAAGATTTGCAAGATTTACCTTAATTAATAAGTTAACGTCTTAACCACAAAATATATTCTAATTCGTACAATTTATCTTTATGTAGTCATACACGGTGTTCTTTTAACTAGTATTAATATCGTGCCATGCACGGTAAGAGATATTCATTAATATTTATAAATTAAAAATGATTAGTAAGTAATATTTATAAATTAAAAATATGGAATAAATATGTAATACAATTTATCTACATTAACTTATTGAAAATGTATATGAAATTTAAATTGTATCAAATTAAAATATGTCTATTTAAAATTAGTGTGCAACCTGTACGGCGCACAAAACTGATAAATAAATTACATTATATTCATTTCAATTTGAAAAATTTTTATTCAACAATTCGATTTGACTACAATGTCATTCTATAAAATATTTATTTTGGTAAAATCTTATCATATCTTTAAAAATCTATGTTAGTAATAAGTATAATTATAAAACTTATATTGTTTAATTAAAAAGAATTTGTTTTTGTATAACCTCAAAATATCAAAGTAGTTGAGTAATTTATTAAATTATAAATAATTGACTATTCCATTTACGTTCAAGTTAATGACATGTAAGTTATGAATAAGTGAATATATACATACATATATATATATATAATATATTTCATCGCGTAATTTATTTAAAATTGTTGTCGGTTACCTTATTGATCAAATTGATTAACTAATTCTCTAGAATTAAATTACAAATTTTAAATTTTATCAACCAATATTAGTTCAAAGATCTTTCTGATTTTTAAGAGGAATACACACCAATTTGCCAAATATTCATCAATATCTTATGAAAATTTATTATGGGAAAATGCAAAAATTTGAGAATTATATCACCTTGATTTAATAATAAATCAACCTAAAATTTGACTTTAATACACATGCCAAATAAAATTCATAACACATATTTCGTTTCAAAATTTTCAAATACACTTCTATCCATACCAAAAAAAAATTCATACCATTTAAATTCGGACATTTCATACCAAAATAAAATCACCTACTTCTTACCATAAATTCAAACATTTATTAATAACAACAACAAAAAAGAAAAAAAAATGATCATCAAATACTTCAGATAAAACCATCCACTTTATACCCAAATCTGATTTATTAATTTTGACAACTTTAAATATCATAAATTGATCAATTAATTTCTAGAGGTAGGATTTTTTGAATATTTTCAAAGAAGATGACCAAGTTTAGTAATTGAAAAAATTTTAGGTGGAATTTTAGCCTTTATTTCAGGTAAACACAAACCTTTTATATATATATATATGTGTGTGTGTGTGTGTGTGCTCAGTGAAAGAAAATAAGAATACACCGTAGCCTTTAGATCGGATGATCAAACGACTAAAAAAAGTCAAAATTATACATTGATTAAATACACATTGATTAAGGGCTTTATAGTAATTTCAACAGCATATCAAAAGAAGTGGACCCCACTCCATATTATTCAATCTGCCAACATTTGCAAAAAATAAAAAAATAAAAAAATAAATCTGCCAACCAATCTCCACGTTAACCTACCCACCCCACCCCACCCCTTCCCCCACACTCTCTCACATACACATGCACACACAGAACACACACAACACACACATCGGGACCACCATAACCACCGCTCCACCACCACCGGAGAATCCACACCAATCGCCAACCGAGCCTCTCCACTGCCGGCTTCCGGCTTCTCAGGCGGCAGCCGCTTCAGCACCGCCGGTCAGTTGCAGATTATGGCAGCGGCGGTCCGTAGCAGAATATAATCACAGAGTCGGCACCGACATCCGCCACCGATTTCCGCGGCTCCAAACCCACCGCAGCCACTGCCGCGCCTTCATTCCACTACCTGACCTCCGCGGACAAGCTACTCCGGCTGTTCAAGGGAAGTTTGCGGCCAAGATGCTTCCCCGCGTGATGATGTCCGGCTGCCTCTGCGTAATCTCCGTCGTGTTGGGGCTTGGCTTGCTGCTCGTAATCCTAGAGCTCACCGTCTTCAAGGTCAAACGCCCTCGCAAGTCGCACCTCCGTCGCGACACGGGAAGAATGATTTAGGAATGATGACTAGGGTGTGAAGATGCCCAATTCAGAAATTAGGGTTGAGAAGGGGGTGGGTTCTTTTTTGTGAATTAGATAACTTTAAGGGACCTACTTGTAAATTGAAAAGTTTTAACTATATGTCAATTGAGTACATGGGCCGTACTTGTAAGTTATAGTAAATATAATAAAAAGACTATTATTTTCTTTACATAAAAACATATTTTTATACATATATATTATATTTTTTAACCAAAAATAATATAAAAAATTAAATAAAATATATTAAAATAGTAAATATATTTTTATAATATAAATAATAAAAATATTTCAATTATTTAGGTTAATTCGATTAACCAATTGAATAATCCAATTATTTCGGTTTGATTTTTAGTTTGGAATAGCACATTAAAAAACAAAATCGGAGTGCAGAATGCACAATAGTAAAACATGATGCACATTAGTTAATTTCATATTGCACAATAGTGTTAGACCAAATGCGCATTCGAGAATGCACATTAACATTATAATTTGCATTTTTACAAATATTAAAATTCATGGAATCAAGAGTCGAATCCAATGAGCAATCCAAATCCAAAGCAAGAAAAAGGAGTTTTTCAATCTCCAAGTCCAATCAAAAGTGAAAAAGCATGAAAAGGAATGAGTTTCTAGAGAGAAAAAGCGTAAAAACAAAGTCTGGAAGTGAATAATGAGCCTTAGGTCCAAAATCTGATGTTAAAACCTGCATCTCGAAATATCTCGCGAGTCGCGCGTCGTCAGTTTCTTCAAAATCTGGGGTTGGTCGCGACATATCTCGCGAGTCGTGACTTTCATGTCGCGAGTCGCGACTCGAGCTCACGAACTGCACCTTCAGGCTCTGTTTTTCTCGCGAGTCGTGACTTTCATCTCGCGATTCGTGACTTTTCTCTCGCGAGTCGCGACTTTGGACTGCACTGCACAATTTTACGTTTCGGGCTCGTTTGGGCTCGTCCAAACTCGGAATTGAGTTATGTTTTTGCTATGCGTTGCCAACAAACCATCTATTCAACTATGCGCTCGAAAAAAACTTTTGGTGATGAGAAAATTCGCCCGAAGCTCCCGACCTACACACCAAAAACAACAGAACACGAAGAAGACCGGGAAAACAAACGAAAAAAAAACACCTAAAGACTCAAAATCAAGAAAAACGCATAATAAAATACGAAACGGACTAAAAACAAAAGAAATGACCTAAAACGGGGGAAAAAAAAACAAAACAAGCACGAAAAATGCAACAAAAATGGGACAAACAGCTGATTCCAAGCTTGTGCAATAACTTCATTAACTTCATTATCAAATGGAACCTGCGCTTGTTTCTCCTAGTTTGTGGATTGGATTCCACTACCAACATGCTATGATCGGAGGAACTTCTTCACTAGTTCTTTACTTGAGTATTAGAAAAAAGTTGAAGCCATCCCAGGGAGACGAACATCTTATCCATAACCTCTCAACATACCCCTCATTAACTCTATCATTCCCCCAAGTGTAGGAATAGCCTTGCATCTTAACTTCTTGCATATTCATCTTCACAATGAAATCCTGAAAACCTGCTATGGGCTGCCTACCTCCCTTATTTTCTTCTATTCCACTGAGATCATTCCACTTCCCAATAATACACTATTCTGGTCCCCAATCTGCCTTCATTGATTGTAGAAAACTCCATTTACCTTCTCTAACTCTTTTGTCAGTGCCTAAATAAACAAAAGTGACCCACTTGAAATTCTCTTGGAGCTGTAACCGACATTGAACTTCCAAACAAAAGTTATGTCTCCTGATTTGTTTCACCTCCACCAATTTATCCCACAAAAGAAGCAAACTGCCACTCAAACCCACTGGCTCCACCATAGCACACCTATCTTTATAACCTAATTTTTAACAAACTGTGAAATTAAATGCATTTTGTTGCTTTGTTTTAGAAAGGAACACAAAATGAGGGTGATTGGCCCGGACTCCTTCATCTTGGGAACTGTAGAGGGGCCACCCAAACATCTACAGTGCCAAACCAGAGCATTCATTGAGAACCCTGTGGCCATTCAAGGCTGGACATGCTCCTCCTTTGCACTGCTACTTCCTTCTTGTGAACTGCTCAGACCCACTCCTTTTCTTCTCTTGGTTGACTTCTGGATAATATTAGACCCTTGACTTCTGGTTCTCCTCTGAGAAGCCTCTATGTGGTTACTCTTTTCCAAGTAGTAGGTTTGGTGATTACTAGACTGGGGGATACCTCATCTGGATTTAGATCCCTGATCCCTGGAATAAATCCTCCTCTATCAGCTATTATGTCCATATCCCCTTCACTCCTTTCTGTTGGTGTTACCACTTCCTTCTCCATATTCTTAGTAGACTGAACATTTATCCCACCAGGCAGCTCCTCTCCTGTGATTTGTTCAGGGATTTTTGGTAGATGTATTCTAGAACTTCCCTCTCCTTCTTCACCTTTAGCAATTTCCACTATATGTTTTCCCCTGCTCTCCTCAGCATTATGTACACCCTCTTGAGATTTAGCCACAGAATCATCTGAGTTGTTCCTAGGGGATTCTGTCGACTCTCCTTTATTTTTTTCCAGACCCTGAATTGTGGCTATTCTGTGGGAATGTAGAGTGTACTGGTGCTTTGATCCATTCCCCGGATTGTCCTTCCTGCAGTTGGTTTCTCTACATATCTATCATCCTTCTCTCACAACTCCTATCCAGGTGCCAAATCATCCCAATGTAAAAAACATAAATTCACCAAACTCTCATATTTGAATTGAACGCGCACCCACTGATTCCCAAGCCTGATATTGGTGCATCGTGGCAGTGCCTCTTAAGTATTTGGAAGTCAATTTGTTTACTGTGTATTTTTTCCTCCAAACCCTTCCAGCGATTCGAAACTTTTCCCCTAAATCCGACCAGCGCTCCTCCAAATCAGATTGTTCCGCCTTCCTCGGTGACGGAGATGTCACGGCCCGTGGTCGTCCTTGACCACCTGGTTCACTCATGGTGACGTGCGCCCCTGAGATGGCCATGGAAGCTCAACAGTCGGAGTCCATTCGATTGGTTGCAGATGGGGCACCGGTTGGTGGTGGCGACCCTCATGGTCGGCGTCTGTCTGGCGATTCGAGTTTTCCCCTCAATTGCTGGATGAAGCTGTGCTGCGGAGGTAAGCCCTTCAATTTTCTTTTGTCTGCGATCGATGGGTCGCGCCTTTCCGGTGGGGCTTCGCCGTTCTGGTGGTGCCTGACCTCTGCACGTTGGTGCTCTGTGGTTGTTTTTGCCGGTGCGTGAGCTGACGGGTGGGGTGGGACTCCGGTGCTGCGGCAGTCCTGTCGCAGCGGTTGGGGTTGAGGGAGCGAGCCACTCTCACCCTACCCTGTGCGGCTAGTGGTGTTAGGCGTCGGGGGGATGGGTTCTCTCAAGCTCGGCTAGTGGTGTTTGACAAGTTCGGGTGAGTCTGGTGTGGGGGCTGGCCGCTGCTCTCTTGGTTGAGGAGGGGTTAATTCGAGGATTGTTTTTGGGGTTCGGTTAATTCTACTGTATAGGCGTTATCACAATTTCGGTAGCCGTTGCTCGAGCCTGGAATCTTTCTTATGTCGATCGTTCACTGTGGGTCTGGCTCTTTCGTTTGCTGGGGAAGGGCTCAGTTTTGTTTTCTTTTATTTGTTGCTGGAGTCTATGTTAGTAATGTGTTTTTGGTTTGGGTTCTTTACTCGAGTGTTTTATGTCTTGTCTCTTTGGTCTGGGCCGTTGGCCTCTGTGTGAGCGGGAGCAATTTATTATCCTATGGGGACCAGCTCCTGTCTCTATTCTTCTGTGGGAAGCTTTTTAGTTGTAGATTTTCTGTGCGTTTATTGTGTGGTTGTTTCTAGTGTCTTGTTTTGGTTACTAACGTTTGCTAGTGTCGGGCTTCTAAGCGATCATTAGACCTGTCCTCTCATTTTATTCAGTTTTGGGCTGTGTTCCAAGTTGTATCTTTGCACATTTGTGCGTTTGTTATATAAATTCTCTATCGTTTATGGGCAAAATCAGAAGATTAGGTTAATTCATGGGCGGACCCACACAGGGACCCGTAGGGGCAAGTGCCCCTATAGAAATTAAAAAAAAAAAAATCTAATATATGGGTTGAGTGACTTATTTGCTATGATATGGGTCCCTTTTGTTAAGTTACTAATAATAAAAATACATTCTTCAAAAGACATGCCTCCTAGACATCTATACAGGTTCTCGTGGCATTCAATATTTAATTTTTTTAATAGAAATTAATCTCTATATTTGTAATGATAATAATAATAAACCAACTCCACTGATTTAGGGCTTGATTGTTTATGAAATAATTTATTCACATTTATTTTGGTAACGCAAAACACTCCGACCGGCTTGAAGTCGGTTCACCTTCCTCTTCCTCGCCGGTAGAACGCCGCGTACTGCACAGAACTCTCACACCGTAGGAGTTTTCCGGTGAAGAGCCTCCGATGCTTAAGTCAGTATGTGTTTGTTCAATTTCCCAAAGTAAAGAATGGATAAATCGTAAGTCTCACAAGAAAAGACCCACTCCTATATATATATATAGGAGTGAGATACCTGCCCTAGGAGCTGTCCAGATTTTGGTGAGCTGTCTTACTCGCGCTGCCCATCCGTACACACACAGTGTGCGTGTGTCAGAGATGTCAGAGGTAGTTATCGCCACTATTGCTCTGCACCAATGCACTCTCGCCACGTGTCCCTCTGAGTGGAGGGAGATTATTCTTCTGCGCCTGTCGTTAGGATCTTCTAACGCCACCCACGCTCGCGTTCAAGCCACGCTCTCGACTGCTCTTCACCTGTTGGGTGCTCGATTTGATCGAGCCCCCCATCGCTAGGTCGATCCTCGACCAGTTCTGCTATTCTGCTCGATCTCTTCCCTTTTGGTCGATCATCCGTCGACCAATGCAGTTTTCTCTACTTCGAGCTTGCCCGACCGATGTGGTAGACCGGTCTATTCTTTAGTTATATTATATCCCATATCATATTTCATCTCAAAATCTAACTCAACTTTTAACTCAACTCCACTATTTTTAATATTATTCATATAATTAAATAATACAAAGCAATCATTCTTACACATCACATCAACTTTAATTCACTATTCATCCACTCACATAATTTTAACCTATCATTTCTAATCATTTATCTCCTACTTTTACATCACATCAATTTTAATCATTTTATTTTAAATATTATTTTAATACATTCTTAAAATTCCACGAACAATTAACCATACTACATTTTTCATAATTAATTATGATTAACCAAAATAATTCATTTTGAATAAATTATTCATAAACAATTAAGCCCTTAGGCTTTCAGGAATTTCCATGGAATTATATCCTAATTATAATAACAAATTAACTCTTATGGCTTATACATTTTTTTTATTTCAAATGTTTTCATTTTTTAACTGTAATTATAATTTGTAAATTAGCTCTAAAGTACATGCGATTGGTTTTATAATTAATACAAATTTTGTCATATTTAATGTTAATAGTTGAATGATAGTTTAATAACTTATAATTTAAGTAAAGGCTTGAAAGGATACATAATGATATAATTAATGTTATAAAATAATAAGTTATTCGTGAAAGTTAAATTGTGCCCCTTCCATTTCAAATTTCTGCGTCTGCCTGGGTTAATTTACAGCAAATATTGAAATTTAGTCAAAAGTTAACGTCAAAGTTCAAGTTTCATTTCAAAATATTGACCTTAGAAAGGTGTGAGAAAAGGCTTCATAACATAATGTGTAAGCGTGGTTTGTGATATGCAATAATTATATATAATATATCTCAATTACTAAACACCGCACCCATTTTACTAATACCGCACCCTAAAATGACAGTTTTGCCCTTTAATCTTATTTTTTTTAAAAAATAATGTCCCACCTTCTAACCTATTTATCGGCCGAACCGAGCACCGAAAAATTCCGAAAACACCTCCAAATAATTCCTGCGAAAAAATGCTATTCAACAAGACCGGTCATGCGGCGGTCGACCGGTCAAACCGGCCCTAAACCGGTCAAACCGGCCGCACTAAAACCAAAAATTTAAATTTTTTTATTTCTTTTTTTTGGAACCGGCCGGTCGCTGATTGCGGCTGCGACTCGACCGGCCGAAGGCTGATTGCGGCCGCAACTCGGTCAGCCGCACGCGGCCGGGCTAATTTTTTTTTTTTTTTTTTTATAAAGTAAATATTTAAAAAATATATAATTTTTTTTACTACTATTAATTATTAGGGAAACCAATTAATAGTTATTAAGGCAAGTTGCTACAACATATATAGCTATTCATTGGCTTACATTGAACTTTCTCATTCAATGTGGGATAATTGCAAATCAAAGTTTTCACTCTCTCAACCTTTTATAGCCACTCTTGGCCTTTATTATTGTGTTTGTAATCGATGTGGGATTGTCTCAAACCTTTATAACTACTTTTTGCATTCTTTTTTGCTTTCAAAATCAATGTGGGACTAAATGATCCATGCTTTAA